CTGTGTTCTATCAGACCACCATGGTCTAAAGTTGGATTTCAACAACAACAAAAACTACAGAAAACCTGCAATCTCATGGAAACTGAATAATACCCAACTGAATCACCAATGGGTTAAGGAAGAAATAAAGAAAGAAATTAAAGACTTCCTAGAGATCAATGAAAATGAAGACACCACATATCCAAATTTATGGGACACTATGAAAGCAGTACTAAGAGGGAAATTCATAGCACTAAATGCCCACATAAAGAAGTTGGAGAAATCTCACACTAGAGACTTAACAGCATACCTGAAAGCTCTAGAACAAGAAGAAGCACAGTCTCCCAGGAAAAATAGACGCCAGGAAATTATCAAAGTGAGAGCTGAAATCAATAAAATAGAAACAAAGAGAACAATACAAAAAATTAATGAAACAAAGAGTTGGTTCTTTGAGAAAATCAACAAGATAGACAAGCCCTTATCCAAACTAACCAAAAGACAGAGAGAGAGCATCCAAATCAACAAAATCAGAAATGAAAAGGGGGACATAACAACAGACATTGAGGAAATCCAGAGAATCATCAGGTCATACTTCAAAAACCTCTATTCGACAAAACTGGAAAACCTAAAAGAAATGGATAACTTTCTGGATAGGTACCACATACCTAAGTTAAATCAAGACCAGATAAACTATTTAAATAGTCCAATAACCCCTAACGAAATAGAAACAGTCATTAAAAGTCTCCCAACCAAAAAAAGCCCAGGACCAGATGGTTTCAGCGCAGAATTCTACCAGATCTTCAAAGAAGAGGTAATACCAATACTCTCTAAATTGTTCCACACAATAGAAACAGAAGGAACATTACCAAACTCCTTCTACGAGGCTACAATTACCCTAATTCCTAAACCAAACAAGGATACAACAAAGAAAGAGAACTACAGACCGATCTCCCTCATGAACATTGATGCAAAAATACTCAATAAAATACTGGCAAACAGACTCCAAGAACACATCAAAACAATTATCCACCATGATCAAGTAGGATTCATTCCAGGGATGCAAGGGTGGTTCAACATACGAAAGTCCGTCAATATAATACACCATATAAACAAACTCAAAGAAAAAAACCATATGATCATCTCACTGGATGCAGAAAAGGCATTTGACAAAATCCAACACCCCTTCATGATAAAGGTATTAGAGCGATCAGGAATACAGGGAACATACCTAAACATAATAAAGGCAATATACAGCAAGCCAACAGCCAACATCAAATTAAATGGAGAGAAACTCAAAGCAATTCCACTAAAATCAGGAACGAGGCAAGGCTGTCCACTCTCCCCATACTTATTCAATATAGTACTTGAAGTTCTAGCCAGAGCAATAAGACAACATAAGGAGATTAAGGGGATACAAATTGGAAAGGAAGAAGTCAAGCTTTCCCTATTTGCAGATGACATGATAGTATACTTGAGCGACCCCAAAGATTCCACCAAGGAACTGATACAGCTTATAAACACCTTCAGCAACATAGCAGGATACAAGATCAACTCAAAAAAATCAGTAGCCCTCCTATATACAATGGACAAAGAAGTGGAGAAGGAAATCAGAGATACATCACCCTTTACTATAGCCACAAATGACATAAAATACCTTGGGGTAACACTAACCAAGCAAGTGAAGGACCTATATGACAAGAACTTTAAGTCCCTGAAAAAAGAAATTGAAGAAGATGTCAGAAAATGGAAAGATCTCCCATGCTCATGGATAGGCAGGACTAACAGTGTAAAAATGGCAATCTTACCAAAAGCAATCTACAGATTCAATGCAATCCCCATCAAAATACCAACACAATTCTTCACAGACCTGGAAAGAATAATATTCAAATTCTTATGGAAAAACAAAAAGCCCAGGATAGCCAAAGGAATCCTGTACAATAACACAACTTCTGGAGGCATCACGATCCCTGACTTCAAGCTCTACTATAGAGCTACAGTAATAAAAACAGCTTGGTACTGGCATAGAAACCGACATGTGGACCAATGGAATCAAATTGAAGACCCTGACATTAATCCGCACACCTATGAACATATAATTTTTGACAAAGAAGCCAAAAGTGCACAATGGAAAAAAGAAAGCATCTTCAACAAATGGTGCTGGCAAAACTGGATATCAACATGTAGAAGGCTGCAAATAGATCCATATCTATCACCGTGCACAAAACTTAAGTCCAAGTGGATCAAGGACCTCAACATAAATCCAGCTACTCTGAACCTGCTAGAAGAGAAAGTAGGAAGTAGTCTTGAACGCATTGGCATTGGAGACTACTTCCTAAATAGAACACCAGTAGCACAGACTCTGAGAGAAACAATCAATCAATGGGACCTTTTGAAACTGAGAAGCTTTTGTAGAGCAAAGGATACGGTCAACAAGGCAAAGCGACAGCCTACAGAATGGGAAAAGATCTTCACCAACCCCACATCTGACAGAGGACTGATATCCAGAATATATAAGGAACTCAAGAAATTAGACATCAAAATGCCCAACAGTCCAATTAAGAAATGGGCTATAGAACTAAACAGAGAATTCTCAACAGAGGAAACTCAAATGGCCGAAAGACATTTAAGGAATTGCTCATCATCCCTAATCATCAGGGAAATGCAAATCAAAACAACTCTGAGATACCACCTTACGCCTGTCAGAATGGCTAAGATCAAAAACACTGAAGACACCTTATGCTGGAGAGGATGTGGAGCTAGGGGAACTCTCCTCCACTGCTGGTGGGAATGCAAGCTTGTACAACCACTTTGGAAATCAATATGGCGCTTTCTTAGAAAATTGGGAATCAATCTCCCCCAAGATCCAGCTATACCACTCTTGGGCATATACCCAAGAAATGCTCAACCACACCATAAGAGCACTTGTTCAGCTATGTTCATATCAGCATTGTTTGTAATAGCCAGAACATGGAAACAACCCAGATGCCCTTCAACTGAAGAATGGATAAACAAAATGTGGTACATATACACAATGGAATACTACTCGGCAGAAAAAAACAATGGCATCATGAGGTTTGCAGACAAATGGATGGATCTAGAAAAAATCATCCTGAGTGAGGTAACCCAGACTCAGAAAGACAAACATGGTATGTACTCACTCATAGCAGGATACTAGACATGAAACAAGGATGAATTGTCTGCTACTCACATCACCAGGGAGGCTACCCGGAAAACAGGACCCCAAGAAAGACACAGGGATCGCCCAATGACAGAGAAATGGAATGAGATCTACATGAACAGCCTGGACATGAGTGGGGGTAATGAAAGGCGAGGGTCGAGGGAAAGAGAGCTTGGGGGAGCGGGAGATCCCAGCTGGATCAACAACAGAGAGGGAGAACAAGGAATAGGAGACCATGGTAAATGAAGACCACATGAGAACAGGAAGAAGCAAAGTGCTAGAGAGGCCCACAGAAATCCACAAAGATACCCACACAACAGACTTCCGGCAATGGTCGAGAGACAGCCCGAACTGACCTACTCTGGTGATGGGATGGCCAAACACCCTAATTGTTGTGCTAGAAACCTCATCCAACTACTGAGGGATCTGGATGCAGAGATCCATGACTAGGCCCTGGGTGGATCTCTGGGAGTCCAATTAACGAGAATGAGGAGGGTTTATATGAGCGAGAATTGTTGAGACCAAGGTTGGATAAAGCACAGGGACAAATAGCCAAATGAATGGAAACACATGAACTATGAACCAATGGCTGAGGGGTCCACACTGGATCAGGCCCTCCGAATGGGTGAGACAGTTGATTGGCTTGATCTGTTTGGGAGGCATCCAGGCAGTGGGACCAGATCTTGTGCTCATTGCATGAGTTGGCTGTTTGAAACCTGGGGCCTATGCAGGATTGTTTGGCTCGGCCTGGGAGGAGGGGACTAGACCTACCTGGACTGAGTCTACCAGGTTGACCTCAGTCTGTGGGGAAGGCTTTGCCCTGGAGGAGATGGGAATGGGGGGGGGGGGGCGTTGGGGGGAAGGTGAGGGAGACGGGAGGGGAGAACAAGGGAATCCGTGACCGATATGTAGAACTGAATTGTATTGCAAAATAAATTAAAATAAATTAAAAAAAAAAAAAGAATGTGAGAACAGGAGAAACATACCTCAGCATAATAAGGACGAAGAGACACAAAGGTAAACCAAACAGTACAAAAGAACAACTTGACTTATTCCACTTGAATCAGGACTAATTCAACACAATGAATCAGTGTGTATAAACTCAAGAAAGAGAGAGAAAAATTTAGAGAGGACAATACAGGAGAGTCAGAAAGCAAGTGTACCTTCTTGAGAAAGCTCAGATCAGACCACTCACACTGTCTACAGATATCTTAAACTCCCTTGTCATAGCATTCATATTGTCAAAAATTACCATGCAGGATGGGGCATGGGGCAGAGGTATCAATGGCCATAATCAGATTTGGATCCTGTGTGCAATAATCCCAATCTGTCAAGAAAGGCATACCCACAGGTGTCAGAGAGGCAAGACTCTTCTTCTATGAACTATAAGGTTTTCTGGCTCAATATAAGGCAAGCTCCACAGAAAGAAATACATGGATGGACTGGGAACCTGGCCAAGAGCCAACGATAAGGAAGGTCACAAGGGTTTGGCAGGCATACACTGCTAATATTGGCTACATGTACAAATAACTCAACCTGCCTTTAAATGGCTCAGTTCATACCCATATCCAGGGTGCTGCTTTCAGCCTGGTCAAAGAAACATTGTTTTCAATGGGCAACAGTCATGTCAGAGACTCATAATTTTTCAAATACTGAGAACAATCAACTGCTTACTATATAGCCAATAATGGGAAATTCACGTTACAACACCTAGTATTTCTTTTTTCAGTGAAATTTTCCAAAATCATTAACGAAATAGAATCTTCCAAAACCCAATTTCACATCCTGTTCCTAACTATCATTTGACATCTACCCCACCCCTTCCTCAATCCTTCTGACATACCTGGATCCTTTGCTACTGTCTCCTCTCTCTTCATCATCCAGGGCTCTTTGTTCTGCTCCACAGGTGAGCAGGACTGACTGAGCAATGTGATACTTGTATATGGGAAAGGGATTCTTCAAAAAAACCACTTGGAACTTTTCATAGAACAAAAACAAAAGAAGGTAACACCTGTCAAAGGATAAACATGAAGGAGAGAAAATATCATGAAAAATGGCTCTTTTTCTCTGAGGATCTCACTTTATGGGATGTGAAACCTCATTCACACACACCTCACACACATGCAGAGTGGTCTGTCCAAGAACCCTGAGGGGGAGCAAGGGAGATTGCAAGAAAATTACTCTGACCCTCAGAACCAGACTGTTGCACTTCTCCAAGATGAGATCTATGAAAAAAAGCCCTGAGAGCAGGGTCTAGGCATTCCCACTCCTCCTACAAGAAGTCCACAGTCACAGCACTGAATGTCAACAAACCATGACATAAAATACAACAGTTTGTCACATGTGCATGGGTAGACTGCATTTCTAGAACAAGGAGACATTTTTCTGATGTAGGTGTCTCAACATAATTATTCAAAAGGCACCTTCTAATTTTGTGTTAATCTTAATAAATTTTCTATCTATAAAAATAGTGTGGTCTTCTCACAGAATGTATACTGGGCTTGCCTGGACCTTATCAGAGGGCAAAAAACTCATGACAAGTGGCTAAGTGAAGTGCCCATTAACATATCAAAGCAGACTTTTTTTTTTTTTGCTAGGTGCTCTTTTGGCCTCTAGGCTCCAGGTTCCTTGGCCTCCACCTCTCCTGTCTTCTCTTCATTTCTCTCTCCCCTCTCATGGACCAGTTCATTATGGGCCCTTCCAGATGCCTCTGGCTATTTTCTCCCTCATACCTATAATAAACCTTCTCCTCAACTACATCTTGTAGCAGTCTGTCCTCATTTTTCATTCGGACCTAAGGTGTAATATCAACAACTAAACACTTGAAGACACCATTTCTGAATTCTGTGTTTACAACAGAGTGCATACATCTCAGGAAAATTAATGGCGAGTAAAACTTTGCTCAGTAAATGTTAATATTTATAACTATAACTGTGGTGCTTTATAACATATTTTCTGATTCAATCAAATTCACAAAGGTTCCTCATATGACTAATATCTACAAAGCTCTCTGGGGAAGCCTATTCCTCGGGCCAAAAGCTACTCTAATACGCAAGTAGTGCACCAGGGTGTGAATATTCTGATCCCGCACTTTGGCTACACCCTATGCTCTGACATAAAAGGCTATTCTTAAGGCAGAACTTTGCCCATTTCCGTCCCTTCTCCTCTGCTTTCCTCACTGGAGGTGCGCACCTCTCCAACCCCTCGCCCTACCCTCCATCTCTGTCTTTCCCTCTTTCTCTCCCTCCCCACAAAAAAAAAAAAAAAAAAAAAAAACCTCGTCACTGAGCACTGTCTGCATGGCCTCTCTGTCTTTCACCAGCCTTGGGGCACCTTGGATCTACCCGTCAGAACCACCCGCCAACACGTGTAATAAGCACGTGTAAAATCACAACACGGGAGTTAGAAAAGCACAGGTGAATTTCAATTCTTGGAGCTTTGTAACTGGTACAGTATCAAGAAAACCTGTTTGCAAACTACAGACACTGCAGATGCTCTACGAGATTATATGGAGAAAACATTCTGGCAACCATAAAAGAAAAAATCACGACACACCCCACTTCATAGGATCTCGACCTTACCGACAACGGAAAGACATCCACAGCAGAATTTCGGAGCCGACTTCCTTATGAACAGCAGAGAAACTGCTCGCACCCCCGGTCCCTCCCCTCCCGTGTCCCAGCCCCGCAGCTCCTCTGACCTGGGAGGTTCCAGGGCCGCCGGGCTGCGGTTCCCGCCACTGCGCTGCTGACTGGTGACTTTCCCAGGCCGCCCCGCGCGGCCACTGCGGCTCCGCGGAGATTTCAGGTTCCGAATACCCGGCGGGTCTTCCTCACGTAGTTCCAGAAAACTCAGTTCCAGGAGTCCATCAGGGAACGGTGAAATTTCCTGTCCCTAGCCCCGCCCAATACACCCTACTTCCGCTTACGTACTTCCTCCAAAAGGCCAACCTCCCGGTCTTTTTCTTACTTTGTTATCGAAGTGCACCCCGCTGTTTCTTTTCTCCTAAAGGCCAATGATCAGGCAGGTGTTCCCGCCCATTGGGGACCCGTCCCTCCCACTCTGTCTCAGGCCGCCTTCCACACAGCTCCAGCTGTCAGGCTGCCCTGGACCTGCTCTGCACAGCCTCCCCACATGCTCGCTGCCAGCCTGGACCAGAACTGGATCTAGGAGGACGCTGCCCCCCGGGCTCTGACCCTGTGCTCTGACCCCTTCAGATACAGGTTATCCCGCCTAAGTTCTCACCTTGGAATACAAGCCTCCTGGGTTAAAACACACAGCAAAAGAAAACCAAAACCCTAAATTCTGTTACTAAAGCCCCATCCCCAAAACAAATTAAAACTAAGATAAAACACCCTTGGCTCAAAACAAACCATATCTGTATCCCCTAAGGAAAGAAAGTTAAATGATATCCAATATACAGAACTCAAAAACCAGAGTCATGTCCAAAATGGTCAAAACATGTAAAGCATGTGAATCAACTCAAAGAAGATTGGAACAAAATGATCCGTGGACAAGAAAACACTAGCAAATGCCTGAAGGATGCAAAGACATTGTAGGGTATGAATATTAAGTTCAATAAGTACTTAAGAAACACCGAAAAAAATCCAATGTGAAATGAAACAGGAAATGAAAAATGCAATAACCCTAATAATAACTCAAAGAGATCAAGCAGGTAGGAGACAGAATATCAGCCTTGAAGACAAGGTAGAGGAGCTGGATGGCTCTAAGAAAATAATTAATTAAAATAAAAATGTTCTATGCAAGTAGCACCAGTTCAAGTTAAAAGTGAAGTTCCATCTGTATATTCTACACTTATTTGAAATATTCTAAATTTTTGAAACAGTAACTCATTCTGGAGAGATTTCCTGGGAATCTGGAAAATCATTTCCATCACTATGCATATGAAGTGACACTAAAAAGCCATCTTTACTCTTCCCTCACAGAACTCCACTCTTACCACTCAAACATCCAGAATTACACTATTAGCAGCGTTGACTTGGGGGAAGACAATTCAGTTACTCAGAGTTTAGAAAGGAAATAGGTATCTCAGGAAGTCAGTGGTCAGTCAGACCTTTAACAGCCCAGGGCTGAAGTCATGCTGTGCCATGAGATGGAGATGTTGTGCTTGTGCTAACACAGAAACAAGTTTGTCTTCTGGAAAGGATACTGAAGGTACTTTTATGGAAAACACAGAAAATTCCTTTTGAAAACTCAGGGTTGAATGTAGAAGCTTATGACTGTTCAAGATGCATAAAATAAGCCATTGAAATGGGCACAGCCTTAAACAGCTCAGTTACACTATCCCATCAATGCTCTGGGCATACTGAGGAAGGGGCAGTGGGAAGGAAATAAGAAAACATGGGGAACACCCAGGACATGTCATGCTCTAGACTCCACACAGCTGTTGTAATCAGTAACCCAGAGCAACTGTACTCACCTGCACTGGGCTCAGTCAAGGCCAGCCCTGGACACAATCCGTCTAGGAGGGGGAGAGGCTCACAGGGCCCCACCCTTTAGCTCTCAACTGTGGCTATGGAGAGATTTTAGGAGAAGGGGAATCACTGTCTTTACTTGTGTCTCTTCTGCTAAGCCCAACAGGCTCCAAAACATAGCTCCAAACCCACATTCTCACAGATGGCCCTGGTTAATCTCCGTGGGTCAAAAGCAAAATGAGTAGAAATGAACATGAGAGAGAGTTATGGAATGAGGGAGAGAGAAAGATGGGGATAGAGAGGGAGGGAGACAGAGAGAAGGATGTGTATGGGCCAGGACTGCAGGGAGTAAGGGATCAGAGTGTGTAATAAGCAAGGTACATCATGTGAAATGGCAAAAAGTTAACAATTAAAGTTAAAATTTTTCATTTTTGCACTTTATCTGGTTTGATATCAGGTAATTTTAACTTCATACTGAATCTGGAATCCTTGCCTTCGTTTTACATCAAGGAATACTTTAAGTAGCTTCAGTATCAGCTATTCTCTGATATCTGACATAATTCTGTGAGGATTCAATGTGCTTCTAGGGTTTTCTTTTTAATCAGGGTGCATTTATTTCTTCTTCATTGTTGTTGCTACTTATAAACCTCTAGAATTAGTTCGTGTTGGTGTAATTTTGGTGTGTGGTATGAATCAGGAAAAGTGATCATTTCTTTTAAATTTCCTGAATCCATACCTGACACTGCTCCAGTAACCAAGAACCAGAGACTAGATATCCAGAGACTATGATAAAACCAAAATACTACTGGTCTAAACAACAACAACAACAAAGTGACTCCTAATGGTATATTGCTATACTCATCAATGTATCCCTTATTCAGTCACCATCAAAGACGCTTCCTCCTGCAGCATATGGGAACAAATACAGAGGCTCATAGCCAGACATTAAGCAGAGAGAGACCTTGGAACACACAGCTCTAAATGGATTGTCTCCTGCAAATCCCACATCTCAGAGCCCAGGTAACCCACAGAATAGGAGGCAGGAGGACCGTAAGAGACAGAGGGGATGGACGACACCAGAAAAAAACAAGATCTCCAAACAAACTGAGCAAAGATCATATGAACTCACAGATAATGAAGGCCCAAGCACAGGGCCAAGGTGGGTGTTCACCAGGTCAGCTGCTGTATTGTATCTCTCAGTTTAGTGTTTTTATGGGATTCCTAACATTGTGAACCAGTGGCTTTCTAATTCCTGTGCCTTCTCTTGGAGCTCTATTGTTGTGGTTTATTTCAGTGTCCAACTTTGAAGTGGTGGCTTTATTTTAGCTTATTATAATTTGTTTCATTATGCTTTGCTGCTGCCTTTTAGAAACCTGTTGTTTTCTAACAGGAGTTCATCTGGATGGGAGGCAAGGTGGACAGGAACTGGGAAGAGTAGAGGGAGGAGAAACGTTTATCAGGATTTATTCAATGAGAAAAGTATCTGTTTTTAATAAAAGGGGAAAATAGAAAATGCTATATTTTAAAAATTAATGAAGTTCATGATGGCCCATTAACATGAAAATACAAAGGGGAGTTTTTATCAACTTATTCGGAAATAAACATTTTTATGTTCTAAACAGTGTTTACATGAATAAGTTCTCTATAGACTGATTTGTGTGTCCAAAATTATTCCTAAGCAAGGCTCAATTGCATGAGACCATTCCTGAACATCCGTGAGCTGACTGTGGACACCCTTTTTCAGACCTGGAATTACAGTCATGTACTGGTTTTCTTTTGTGAAAAATGGGAGCCAAACCCACACAATTTGCATAAGGAGAGACTAAGCAGTTGAAATATGGGAATTCTGGGTCATGATTGGATTAGAACACCAGCCTTCCCTGATTAAAACTACAGCATACAATGTGGGATTTTGGAAAAGGCATTCCATGCAGTGTATGGTCATTTGTGACTTTTTTTCTAATAAATCACTACATTTTTGTGTAGAGAATAAATGTTGGGGCTGGAGAGATGGCTCAGCGGTTAAGAACACTGGCTGTTCTTCCAGAGGTCCTGAGTTCAATTCCCAGCAACCACATAGTGGCTCACAGCCATCTGTATTGAGATCTGGCGCCCTCTTCTGACCTGCAGGCATATGTTCAGGCTGAGCACTGTATACATAATAAAATAAATCTTAAAAAAAAAAAAAAGCAGCACACACAAAAATAAATAAATAAATAAATAAGTAAATAAGTAAATAAGTAAATAAATAAATAAATACATAAATGTTTCCCAGACAATGAATCATAAGGATCTAACCATGAGTTCAATGTCATTCACTGACACAGCACAGTTTGGAGGATGTGTGTCATTTACAGAATTTTGTAGCACACTTTCTTTCTGTCTTCTGCAAGCTCCAAAGCACTTCATTCTGACTCCCTTTGTGCCATATCACTGAAACCATCTGATTTGGGGCTAAAACCCTGGAGCAAGGAGTCCAGCAATATTTCATTCTTTAGCTGATTTTTAGCCCACTAACTATGCCATTGATTAATTTGTCGGGTTCCCCCCCCAATACTATGCTGGTTTTTATTGCTATAGCTTTGTAGTGTAACATCCCACAGTTCTTTTGTTATTCAGGTTTGTTTGGGCTATCCTGGCTTTTTTGTGTTATCATATAAAGCTAAAAATTGTTCCGTTAGGATCTGTGAAAATGTCTGGCAGAAGGGGTGCATGCCTCTAATTCCAGCATTCTGGAAACAGAGGCAGGCAGATCTTTGGATTCATGACTGGCCTGGTCCACAAAGTGAGTTCCAGGATAACCAGGACAACAAAGAGAAAAACCTATCTCAAAACACCAGAAGCAAATGTGTGTGTGTGTGTGTGTGTGTGTGTGTGTGTGTGTGTGTGTGTGTGTGTGTGTGTGTGTGTATGAAGAATTATGTTGGGATTTTGATGGGGATTTTAATCTATTGTTTATTTTCATTAAGATGGTCATTTTTCCTATATTATTCCCACAAATCCATGAGCATGAGACATATTTCCATCTTCTAAAATCTTCAATATCTTTCTTTAATAACTTGAATTTATTTCCTTTTACTACCTTTTATTGAGTATTTTTCATACCATGTATTTTGAGTAATTTCATATCCTCCCAAGTACTCCAAATAGTCTACAACTCCCCATGTACTAAACATTATGTTTTTCTTTCTCTTTGAAAAAAAGAAACAAAAACAAAAACAAAAAGTTACAAAAACTCAAAGATGGGAATCAAAACAAATCAGCGACAGACCCAGAAGCCAGGATTAAAGGTATGTGTCATCACTTCATTTTACGTTATTTTGTTATCTTCATTGAGTTTCTTTCACATCATAAATACATTCCTTATTATGTGGAAGTGGTTGAGATTTCACTGAATTCCCTCAGGAAGTGACTGGTGCCCTTTGATTTTTGATTTTATGGTACATTCTAATAAGTGTTCTTC